TTTGGCACCATTTACAAGCAGCAAAGCTGCTGTGATAACGCTGTTCTCACTGTCTGTAATCACATCAAATTTCTCCCAGAAATTGGACTTGGACTTTGATCAGCTTAGTCAGGAGAAGGGAGTACTTGATCCGATGCAAGAGAAACCACTTGTTGCGTTAGTTGTGTTGTGCTGTTTGATTTGTTCATTGTAAACATCTGAAGGTTTCTAAATGTTTTCAATACACCAAATGTGCAATGGGAGTCGAATAACTTTGACTGCAACTGTACATCAACAGTTATTTAACAGAGCATCAGTGGTTGGATCAAGTTAAGTAATACTTGTATGGGTCATATCATTTTGGTTCCCCCTGCATGTTTCATGTTACACTAAGCCTACTATCAATAAGCAGGAGACACTTGTTTAAGAAGGTTCACAAGATGGATTTTACCATTATCTTAGCCTTAATGTGCTTTTGAGAAACCGGGCCTTGGTTTGTTCTAAGTGCCCAACTTCACATATGGTTGGTTGCCCTTTTATTTTCTTGTTTTGTCAGTAGTGGTGAATGAAGACGTAGTGAGATGGCTAACTACCCCCTCTTATCCTCCCTTTTCCCTTGTAGATAATGAGCCTCCTCACACTGCGTCTCATCCACTGTGGAATGAGAGGAATGTGAGACCAGCAAGAGGATCTTATCTCAGGGCCCACTGAAACCCCTCCATTTTTTTTAAAATCCAGCTACAGCCACCAACACACCCTGACTGCAGAGAGAAGAATGAGGGCCTTGGAGAGGGACCTCGCCCACTCAGGTCAGTGAGGTGATTACCAATAAGATAGTGAAGTTCTCCAGCACACTGTTCATCATATATTTCTCTGGCAGATGTTTTAACTTATGGATGAAATTGATCATGTATTCACACATGGGAGACCGACTTATCCGGTAGACAAATCGTCCATTCTCAAACCGTGGATATTCAGTCTGAGGAACAAGAGAAAAATCTTTTAGGGGAATGAAAATGTGTAGTGCACGTACATATAATTTAAGCCACAGGCTGGAAAAATCTGAGTTCATACCTCAACTTTCTCGACCACTTGCTTGCCAAAGGAACAGACCTTTGTTGAACATGTAATAGTCATGTTCTCTGAGCTCTCATACTGACTAGTGACTCCATAGAAAGATCCAGTATCATCTTGAATGTTGCAGTTCAAGTTGGCCTGAGGCAGAGAAAAAGAGCATCAAATGTCAATGAACATTTGCATTTAGGGTCCACTTTAGAGCAATAAACACACACAAAAACATGGCAAATGAGGATAAAAGATGGTAATGGCCCTACCAGAGTACTGCACAGGTTCAGTTTTGAAAATCACCCACAAAGCTCCGCATCAGACCCGATGCATTACCTAGAGTTATTTCTAAATGAAATCTGGACCCGACCCACCCTGTTAACATAAAACCCGCGACCCAACCTGTACCTGTAATTAAAACACACTTCAAGGGCGTCCTGTGCCACATACCCAGGCACAGTGTGTGTGCAACGTCTGCAGTACAAGAAAATAGGACAATCATGGATCCTGAAATGATGTGCATCATCACAGGTTGTCATGTTCACTGCCTGTGTGTGGGCTTTCATTGGAAAAAAAATTGGATGTGGGTGTTTTAACATGCATCGCATGCCCTTAACATTTTTTGGCACCATTTACAAGCAGCAAAGCTGCTGTGATAACGCTGTTCTCACTGTCTGTAATCACATCAAATTTCTCCCAGAAATTGGACTTGGACTTTGATATTTTTATCCATCCATCCATCCATTTTCCTTCGCTTATCCGGAACTGGGTTGCAGGGGCAGCAGTGGGAATGCCGCGGCGTTCCCAGG